GACGGCGGCCTCGGCCTCAGCTTTCGCCTTGACGGCCTCCTCGCTCTTGCGCCTCTCGGCCTCCAGCGCCCTTCGGGACTCCTCGAGCTCCCTTTTTCTCTCCTCGAGCTTGGCCAGGGCATCGTCCCTGGCTGCGGCGGCTTCATCAGCCCTCGCCTGCAACGCCGTGGCATCCTCCCGGAGCCGATCAAGGCAAGCTACCGCCTCGTCGGCCGAGGCAGCCTTCTGCTCCAGCTCTTTCAAGCAAGCTATCTCCCAATACTGCCTCTTATGGCTTTCCATAAGCATAAAGGCACTCTGCAGAAGGAAAACAAAGGTCAGGCAAAAGACTCTACACAGATGAAGAGAAAGACAAAGACAAGGACAGTAACTTACTTGGACGAAGAGGTCCATGCCGCCCTCGTAAATCTTCTCGTCCCCGAGCTTCTTCAAGTAAGCCCGATCTTTGGCCGGCATGGCCTGGGCCAGGACGACGTGGCCAGAGACGAGATCATTAAACACGCCCCCGCCGACGGGGTATTCTACCACCTTCTGGTAGGTGGCACCGGCAATCTCCTTGCCGGCCCTCTTCGTCCGCGGCTCCTGGACGAGAGGCAGTGATGGAACAACATCACCAGCAGCAGTAAGGTCCACGACAGGACCACTATCGTCCACGCTGGGGACAGTCAGAGTACCGGCCTCAGTAGCCGGAGAAGGGGAAGGAGCCCTCTTCGTCTTCTTCGAGACGCTCACGCCGGCCTCAGTTAACTTTTTCTGGCCGTCAGTGGCCGGCCTTTTCTTCTTCGATGGAGCAGGCTTTGGGGCCGCATCAGCAGTAGCCCCGCTCCCGCCGGCCGCGGCACGTCTGGCCGCCTCGGCCGCCTTAGCAGCAATCTCCTCGGCCGCTTTGGCCTTGGCAATAGCCATCATGGAACGCCGGTCCATGACAAAATCTACAAAGGAAAAAACACAAACAGATTAGTAAGGCAAAGGACAAAACATAAAGACAGAAAGCCGAACAAAGAATTACCATCGGCCTCAGCAGGAATGCCCAAGTCCGGGCCGTCGGCCTCCTCAAAGGTGGTGGTCATCCTCGGCCAGAGTTGGAGGTCATCCTCCTTGTCACCATAGACATAGTACCTCACGAAGCCGAGGGCGGCCATCTTGTATTCAGTGATGTAATCCTTCACGCTCCTCGGCCCCCCTTCCAAGAAAGCCTCCACCTGAGCGTCCAGAATAGAGCTCTTCGGCGAGTCGTGCAGGTTAAACCTCCCGGTATGGCCGAGGGAGGGAAACTCGGTGCCACTCTCACCAATGGACACAAACACGAACTTGCTCTTCCACCCATGAATGGACGTAGGCAAATCCGTGAAGCTCCTCTTCTTCGGCAGCTGCTGAAGAGTAGCGTAGGCCGCACAGTTCTTGTGGCTTCATCGGCCGATCTGGTACAGATTCATGAATAGTGCCGTTGTCGGCTTGTAGCCCAACTCCTCACACCGGAGCAAGAACCCCACCATCAAGGAGTAGCTGTTCGGCGTCAGCAAGGCCGGAGGAAGCCCTACCATGTCCAGGTACTCAGTAATGAAAGGGTGAAGGGGGAACCTCAACCCCTTGGCAAAACTCATCGGGTATACTCCAAAGTATCCCGGTGGTGGCAGAAGAACATGGTACGTCGGCCTGGGTGCCCTTACCCGCCCGAACGGCCCCACGTACATCTGGGCAACGAGATAGTCGGCCGCACTGCTATCCGGCTTGATCAGGTAGATGTTGGTGAGATCCAGATAGGAGATGCCGGGCCCACTCTTCGGCCTCCTTACTCTCTTCGGCTTAGCTGCTCCCTTCACAGCAGACACCGGCCTCGGGCACGGAATGACAGCAGAAGTGGACGCCCCGTCCACCACTCGGGACGCACCTACGTCCTCACCCTTTGAAGAGGAGGCGGACTCCTCGTCCTCGCCTTCCTCGTCCACTGGCTCTCCGGATTTGTATGGACTTAAACGCTCTATCTCCTCCTCAAACTCCTCGAGCACCTCGTAGTCAAGCGACCTCGTGGAGGGCTGGTCGTCATAGGGGTAGTAGTCGTCGTTCAAGCTCTTCATAACTACTACTACGGGCCTAAGGAGACTAACTTAAGATCTAATGGTGTTCAAACGCTTAACACTAGATCAACAACCTAGGAAGCAAAGTATGAAAAGTGACGAAGATCGCGATGAACACTAACCTTGAACAACGAAGAACGCGAAGAACAGGCTTGGGAGTTTCTCTCTCTAGAAAATCGGCCAGCACTTCGACAAATTCAGAATGCAAATATGTTTTCTCGTCGGAAGGGGAGGGGTATTTATAGAACCCCTCACCCAACGGTCACTACACGTGGCACCCCCCCAATGGCCACACCAACGGCCACCAATGGGGGACCACCACGTCACCAACGAGCCAAACTCAATATCAACAGCCCACTGGCAAGACGGACTCTACGGCCTACACACGCTCACCGGCTTCACAAACGCCAGCAAGCGCCCACAACGTCCTATTTGCTCGCCAAGATCACAACTGCCAGACAATAAGGAGACGGCAACTGCCAGGAACGTAACGGCCACATGATCACAGGACCCAAGAGCCCACAGGCCATCGGCTCCTCGTCATGATCTTTGATGATAACTCTCTACAAGCGATCTGCGCACAAGGGTTCTCCCACAGGGTTACCTTGGCCAGAAAATCGCCATGAGAGTTGGATTCAGGGGGACTACGGGGAGGCCGCTTCGGCCAGGGATTCAATCAACTCCTTCACCCCTCACACTCCTCGGCCTGAAGCAGTGGGGGACTGGGGGACTACACCGGCCTCAGCAAAACAAAAAGGAAACACTGCAAAGAACATGAATGTGACCACAAAACATGGCCACATCATCCACACAGCACAACGGAACCTCATCGGCCAAAGGCCCATAACGTCATTAGCGACGGCCAACAAGCCACTAGAGGCAAGGACACTCATCGTCCTCCGCCAACAATTAATCTTGACGGGCCCTTCGGCCAAGAACACGAAGGCCAACCAGCAACGGCCAAAAGGAGTGCGCGAGCACCCTCATCGGCCACCCAAAGGAAAGGACGCCATCGTCCTCAAAGCAAGGAACAACCTCGACGGCCTCACCGGCCCAAACATAAACTTCAACCACCAACGTCCAGGAAAGGGAAAGCGCGCCCTCTACGGCCGACATTGAAACAAGACAGTCATCATCCTCAAACACATTAAGGAAACAACGGCCTCCCCGCCCACAGCGAGGAACAGGTAACGGCCAAAGCACAGAACAGGATCACCAAAGAGGAAACAACGCCAACGCCGCAACGGCTAACGGCCCGGGGATGCCCGCATCGGCCAAGGGCAACAAAGCACAGGAATCTACTCTCCTTCGCTTCGTCTACGTCTCAGCTTGGAGAGTGGGGGACTCCTGATGGAGTATATGGGTCTGAGCCCCAGGACCCACATACTCGGAAGAACAGAGCACAAGACAACAGAGTGGCGCCCTCGTCGGCCAAGACGCCCCCGTCGGCCGAAAAGGAGCCAACTCGGATTATGGTCCTGAGCCCAAGGAACCCGGGTGCCCTCGTCGGCCGCGCCCTCGTCGGCCGTGCCCTCGTCGGCCACGCCCTCGTCGGCCAAGAAGACCTCCCAGAAACAGATTTTACACTTACTCATTTGTACAGCCCATCAGTGGCTTTGTATTCGGCCCAGTAGCGGTCCAGTTGTAAATGGGCCTCCCAAGCCCAAGGCTTGGGAGCCCAACCCTAATTTTCTCTATAAATACTCCCCTTGGGAGTAGTTATAGGGGTTACAAAATCATTCTATTGAAGCATATTATTGCACTTCTCTCTCTAGCTCTCACTTCTCTCTAGATATACTCTATCAAATAGTGTAAAAAAGTAGGAGAGATGATGAAAAAAATATGAAAGATAAGATAAAATGTAGAAAAAGTAAAAATAATTGAGTAATTTTAAATGAAAAACTTACTAAAAAGAGAAATTATAGCAAAATTTTGAATACATTTAAAACGAAAAGCGTAGCAAACTTTAAAATACTAAGGAAGTATAAGTAAATAAATTTGAGCCTAAATTCTTTTCATTTTTATGCTAGAGAGCTAGGAGCAATTAATTATATAAAAAATAATATTAGAGATAAAAAAGTAATGTGCAACCATATTTAAGAAAAAACAAAATATGCATTCAAAAATTTGGAAGACGAGTGTGTTTTAGTCCTAATTTGAGCAATTTTTTCCTCTAATTGTAGGTAAAATTATTGAAATAGGAATAGGAATGTTTGATTATTTTAAAATAGGACCATTTATTTTTTTTGAATAAATAATACTATCGCAGTACTTTATACTCCGAATACGGAGTATATACATTATACATGTGTTATATACTCCGTATCTGTTTTGTTCGTTTTTCGGTTTGTTTGTGTAAAGAGAGCTGCAATGACCCAAAAGGAGTCATTTTCCACGGGGATGCAGATATACAAGATCATTCTTCGTGTGTTTCTTCTGCATATCACCGAGGTTCCCACGCCGGCGCCTTTAATTTGCTCTGTCTGGTTGATCAGCGATGGCTCCTGTGCTCAGTAGCAAGGTCCAACCCCACGTTCTTCATACTCATTAACCATTATTGTATGGTGGGCTTTGGGCGTCAAGTAATAGAACCATGCTAGCTTTCAGAGTATCAACTTATTTTTACAATCACAAGGCTCAAGTTCTAATTTAACATATTAGACTCAAACTCACCCTTAGAACATGGTCTTTACTTCTTTCAACCATACGACCGTACGGCAGTATTGCATTTATGACCCATTTGCAGTTTCTTTTGAACGCTTATTTGGTGTGATGGAATGAAATGATCCCACATTAAATAGGCCACTCAATTCTGATTTTAAATTGGGTAGTTGTTTTCAATACCCTTTTTTTGTCTTAAGTTAGGGCGTCCTCGTTATATTGTTGGGGTGTGGCGACAGATGGGCATCATTAATACAATAGCAGTGACTTAACGTTTTAAGAGTGTTTTCTTATCTGAAAAAAGAAGTAGATAACACTTTCCCCTCCAAGAAAGACAGCAGTGCTTAGAACTTAGTAGAGGGATTAAGTTCAGAGTTGTTTTCTAGCTCTTTCAGAGAGTCATTTATTGGTCTAGATTATCATTGAAGTGGCATGTCCATTTGTTAATCAATGATCACAAGAATCCCTCTGTTTTTGTCCCATGTGTTTATCCAATTCTTGGTTACAGCAGCTTTGACAAATTCAGATCATTGTAAGTTGCTAGTCACCTGTTATTTTGTTATAATCATACTTGTATGTTATGTGTCTTCTAGACAGAACACGTTTGTGGTGGAAAAGAAAGAAACTGGTGACTTTTAATGATGCAGATGTAGCTATAAAGTCCCTCAAAGATGGGTGGGAGAAGGTACCACCCAGTTGGAATGGAGCAGACCCTTGTGGTGATCACTGGGATGGAATTGGTTGCATAGGCTCAAATGTTGTTTCACTGTATGCTTTCTCCATTTTTGCATATACTCATTACTTCTTAGCTCCTTCCATCTACATATCTTTTATTTAAGCTTGATGAGCTGAAATTTCAATTTTAGAACTTTAGCAAGTTTGAATCTGAGGGGCCAGATTTATGGAGACATTGAGGGGCTATCAGAGTTGCAAATTCTGTAAGTCGTTGAGATTTACCAATTCTTCATGAATAAAACCCAAAATACAAGTGAGCCCCCCCCCCCCCCCCCCCCCCACACACACAAAAGAACTTTTATTGAGAGTTGATGTTCTCTCTTTAAAGGTGATAGGAGGAGTAGCCCAATGTTTTTAGATGTTATTTCATATTTTTCTGATATAGATACCTTCCTCATGATCCACACCTTGTCGTTATAGTGCATTTTTACTCCAAGTTTTCACCATTACTTGGAACGAGTTGACTGTGATACCATTATGATTTGAGATTTCATTTAAAAAATCAAAAGAGAGGAAGTGTAGCTCAGCTGCACAGTGTTTGATATGATTTGGTTTATTGTTTCATATTTAGCTGGTGCGAAACAAACTCTTCAACAACTATGTTATTTGTGCTGTTTTTAGAATTACAAACACGCCTTTTTGGTATGATGGTTTCAATATACAATGCCTTAGAACAGGAGTCCTCACATACAGGGATCTTTTGTATTCATAAGGCTCAGCTACACTTTACAGGGACCTATCATACAATGCAGGTCTGACTGGACCCCTTCCTCAAACAATTGGTAACTTAAAGAAGCTCTCTAATCTGTAAGAGAACTTTGCACAGTATAGTACATATATATACACTTCCCAATGATGCTATGAAGAAATGATCGTTCATGACTGCATTAACAGAATCCTTGTTGGTTGTGGGTTTTCTGGACAAATTCCTGACACGATCGGATCTTTGAGCAACCTGAAATATCTGTAAGAATTTTTACTATGTAATTTCATCTCCCTTCCTATTTTATTTTAAAGTAAGAAGCTGATTTTTTTCCTTTCCAAGCCTTAGTCCCAAAAGAGTTTGGGGTCGGCTACCATGAATAGACACATGAAATCGGAGTTAAAAAAGATAAGAGAGATAAGAAAGATGAAAAGATAAGATACAAAAGATAAAAATATAAGACAAAGAAAAGATAAAAATAAGATAAAAATAAAAATGATAAGATAAAAATGATAAAAAATACGTAGTATAACAATATAAGAGAAAAAGGCTAAAAAGAAAGAGCATAAGAAGCTAATATGGAAAAATATTACTGGTTTTCAATAAATAATACCTTCAAATTTCTACCGCATGAATCAGTAGACCCAAACCTCTGGGAAAAGCATGAAAAAAGGCTCAAATGGTATGATCCCTCCGTCAACCCAGAATGAGGGGATTCCATTTACTATAAAAGTTCCCAGGGAATTCACCATCCTACCTCCTCTACGTTCTTGATAGCCCTTGTTTGTCTCAGTAGAGTCTTTCGGTGGCTGTTTATTCTGATAGTAAAAATAGTAAAAAGGGCCTTAAGGTATCTAAAAAAATTATATTGAAAGTCAGATATAAGTGGGAACCTTATGGTTCTTGTTTCATGTAAAGTAGGAAACAAGTCCATCAAGATTATCTTAAGGCGAAAGCTGGAAAGTTGAATTTAGAGTTAAAAATGATCCAGAGTTATATGCCAATTGCTTTTTAGTTATTAAAATCATATTTAGAAGTATAAAGCTCTCCATTCTGTTTGACGCAGATCCCTGAATTCAAACAAGTTTATTGGCTCAATACCACCTTCCTTGGGTAAACTTTCAGAACTCTATTGGCTGGATTTGGCTGACAATAAGCTCACTGGATGTATACCAGTCTCTAATGGGAGCACACCTGGCCTTGATATGCTTGTTGAAACAAAACACTTGTATGTTTAGTCCAATTTATTTAATCCTTATTAGTCTGGTTTGTTTCGATCCTTAAGCTATATCTGCTCTTTTGTAGTCATTTCGGGAAGAACCAATTGTCTGGTCCTATTCCAGCTCAGCTCTTCAGCTCAAAGATGAAACTGATACATTTGTGAGTTTCAAAGCATTCTCCTGTAGAACTTTCTGTTTCTTTTATTAAAGAATTAAATTTGTATATATTTCATGGTTAATAAATTGTTCAACTTGTAAAAGTTGTGGCGTGTAACTCACCAATGGGGTTGGACAGGTTGCTCGAGCGAAATCAGCTTACAGGAAGCATCCCTGAAACATTGGGACATGTTCAGTCTTTGGAAGTTGTGTAAGTACTTCCATCTCTTTGTTACGTCATCAAATGTGTTGAAGATTTACTTCCACATTGTCTAAATACTATCGTATGAAATAACAAACTACTATATAAGACATTAGGTTACTCATCTTAGAAGGTCAACTTCATAGGAGGAGTCTCCCCAATGTCTTATTTGTTATTTTTTATTTCACATTTAACGAATGTGGGACAAGCTTTTCAATATGATGTTACTCCCTCCGCCTCATTTTATGTATTTTACTTTCCTTTTTGGGATTATCCCAAGTAAGTGTCTTGTTTCTTTTTTTAGAAAGAAATATGTGGTCCACATCATTTGACTTTATTATACTCAAACCTCAACCGTAACATTTACTTTTCAGCCACATTATTAATAATTGTGCCAAATTAAAACAAGATATATAAAGTGGGCCGGAGGTAGTAATATTTTACTTCTGAGTGCATTTCGGGGCTAATTTGAACTAAATGTTTGTGCTTGCAATAGTCGTCTGGACAGGAACTTGCTGAGTGGATCTGTCCCATCAAACCTTAACAATCTCACTTCCATCAATAATCTGTAAGAGTATAGGTGTCTTTATACCTATGCATTGTGTATGACTGAAGAAGTCTGTCTGACCATGCTATGACTAATAATATTCTCTAACTTTGCATCTGCAGGTACCTGTCAAACAATAATTTAAATGGTCCTTTTCCCAACCTCAATGGCATGAATTTCCTCGACTATGTGTATGATTCAAAGTTATTAAAATTTAAATGATGCCTTGGTCCTATGATTATTCATATTAATTAAATTGATTTTCAGTGTTTTCCCAAAACGACTGTTATTGCAAATAGCAACATCAGCTGTATAAATACTAACTATAGCAAATTTATTGGTGATATTGCAGAGACATGAGCAATAACACATTTGATCCAACAGATTTTCCATCATGGCTCTCTACTTTGACATCTCTCACAACACTGTACTTCTCTCTCCCTCCCTCACTCCCTCTGTGTGTATATTTGAGTGCATACACTCAAATGCTAGGTGTCTCCAAGACACAAATGTGTGTCTGCCTCTATTTCTTGAAACCAAAATAAAAGTAGTGGACAAAAATGTGACTCTAGTAACTTTAGTGACTATAATTGTATTTAAATGTTACATCGTTGATAGACAAGGAGCAAATGAAGCGGTTCAGTTCTACAACAAAGTTTATAAAAGGAGGAATAGGGCAGTTAATAATAATAACGACTAAACTAACTAGTCTGTTAGTTAGTTAGTACAGGTCCCTGCGTGGACTTTACTATAAATAGAAGGTGAATAAGCTAGCAAAGGTGGCTGTTGTTTTGGCTAGAACTGGAATAGGAGAAGGGACATCTCGAATCGTCCATTGCTGTATACGAACTGTGTTCTCTCATTTACATCAATAAAGTTTTCCTTTCTAACTCTGTTCTTCCATATCTACTATTGATTGCTCTGAATTGTTGATCGGAATTACTAGTGTCTATCATTGGTATCAGAGCTTTACGCTCCTGGCGACGTCGGAATTGATCGGAGAAGTGTCAGAATCCAGAAATTTTTTTCGTTCGAAGGTGGATGGTCCGAACGAGAGGAAAAATGGATCTTCGCATGGATTCAATGGAACGAACTCAGCAGGAGATGCAATCAGTACTGGAACGAAACCAACACGAAACGCAATCAGCGTTGGAAATCCTCACAGCTAAAATGGATGCGATGGCGGAACAGTTTCAGAACCGAGGGAGATCGCGAACACCTCCACAACTTCATACGAGAGTTTCGCGTAGTCCGATAGGTTCCAGAGGTAACTCTATTCATTCACATGTTCATATTGCTCGGCGAAGTGATGAAAACATTAGATTACCTGGTAGAAAGGTTGATTTACCTTTATTCAATGGTGAGGGAGCCTATAATTGGATCGTACACATGGAGAGGTATTTCCGCTTGAATCATATTGAAGAGGAAGAAAAGGTGGAAGCATCCATGGTGGCGATGGAAGATAGAGCCTTGAACTGGTTCCATTTATGGGAGAATCAAACGGAAGAAACTAATTGGGAAGCCTTGAAGAAATCTGTCATTCGCAGATTTCAACCGGAGTTAATTCAGATTCCATATGGACCGCTGTTGAGTTTGAAGCAAACGGGAACTGTGAAGGATTACAGAGAGGAATTTGAAATGGTGATCGCTTCGCATCTGACTCTGGATAGGGAATTACTGCGAGGAGTTTTCATGACAGGGTTGAAGGATGAAATCAAATCAGAGTTGAAATTGTTTGCATCCAGGTCTCTAACTGAGATTATGGATAAGGCTGTCCTTATTGAACAAAAGAATGAAGCACTCTATTTGAAAAGGAAGGAGGAAGATAAGTTGGGTGGAAGAGACAAAGGATCTGCCTATGTTAAACCTCAGACTTGGGGGGATGGTTTTAAGGCAAGATCTGGTAACGCTTGGTCATTTCAAAATAAGCTGGTGACAGAACACAAGAACAACAGCTCTGGGAATGACAGGATAGCAAACAAGTTTCCTGCAGCTCAACCTTCTGGGATTAGAAGGGTAGGGCCTCAATTATCTCAAGAGGAGTTCCAGGAAAGGAGTAGAAAAGCATTATGCTTCAAATGTGGGGACAAATGGAATAAGGAGCATACCTGTAAACTAAAGAATTACAAGTTGATGCTAATTGAAGATTCAGATGGGGAAGAAGTACCAGAGGAGGGCAGTACAATTGTGACAGAACATGAAGAGTCAGTAGATATGGAGTCTAAATCGATGCAGTTATCTCTCATGAGCAGGGAAGGGATACCTACTATGAGAGCCTTCAAGGTGATGGGAACTGTGAAATGGGCCAAAGGAGATCAGCTGGTAGAGGTGTTAATTGACAGTGGTGCCACCCACAATTTCATTTCTCAAAGACTAGTAGAGCAACTGGGATTACCTTTTAATACCATACCTAATTACAAGGTTCAGATTGGGAATGGAGAGAAGATAGCTAATAATGGGAGATGTGAGGAGCTGACACTGAGCTTGCAGGGTACAGACATTAAACAGGATTTTTATATCCTCAGTTTGGGAGGTACAGATGTAGTATTGGGTATGGAGTGGCTGACTAGCTTGGGAGATGTTGAAATCAATTTCCAGAAGCAAACTATCAAGTGGCAGCAGTTGGGTCAAGGGTTGTATATTCAGGGAGATCCAAAACTGAATTCTATGGAAGTTTCTTTAAAAACTATTTCACAGATCTTACAAGACAATGGAGATGGTTATTTTGTTTATTGTGAAGGCAGTACATTGAATATGAAGAACTGTGGGGAGCTGGAACCTATGTGGGAACAGATTTTGGCAGAATTCACAGAAGTTTCTCAACCTTTGGAGGGGCTACCTCCCATTAGGAGCTGTGATCATTCCATTACCATTCAAGAAGGAGCTACCATACCTAATATTAGACCTTACAGATATCCTCACTATCAGAAGACTGAAATTGAAAGGATTGTGAAGGAAATGTTAGATTCTGGAATAATTCAAAACAACACTAGTCCATACAGCAGTCTAATACTTCTAGCCAAGAAGAAAGATGGTGGGTGGTGGTTCTGTGGAGATTACAAATCCCTAAACAAGATTACAGTTCCAGATAAATATCCTATTCCTGTCATAGAAGAATTACTTGATGAGCTTGGGGAAGCCTAATATTTTTCTAAACTGGATTTGAAATCTGGTTATCACCAGATTAGAATGAAGGAGGAGGACCGGAAGAAGACAGCTTTCAGAATGCATGAAGGACATTATGAATACTTGGTGATGCCCTTTGGCTTGACAAATGCACCTTCTACTTTCCAAGCTCTCATGAATCAGGTTTTAAGGCCATATTTGAGGAAGTGTGCCTTAGTATTTTTTGATGACATCTTGGTTTATAGTAGATCTATAGAAGAGCACCAAGAACATTTAAGAGCAGTTTTATCTGCTTTGAGGGATAATCAGTTGGTGATTAACCTAAAGAAATGTTCCTTTGGGCAGCTTCAACCGATCTACTTAGGGCACATCATCTCTTGAGAAGGAATAAGAGCTGACCCTACCATGATTGAAACAATGGTTACCTGGCCAGCACCTAAGAATTTGAAGGAGTTAAGAGGTTTTCTAGGGCTGACAGGTTATTATAGGAGGTTTGTTAAGGGGTACAGTAAAATTGCCTTGCCCCTTACACAACTTCTAAAGAAGGATTTTTTTCAATGGGATGAAAAGGCTTTACAAGCTTTTGAAGAATTAAAGAAGACAATGACTTCTTTACCAGTACTGGCAACACCTAATTTCAATAAAACATTTACCTTGGAAACTGATGCTTCTGGAACTGGGTTGGGAGCAGTTCTAATGCAAGAAGGGAAGCCAATAGCCTTTATGAGCAAAGCTTTATAAAAAAGAAACCAAAACAGATCTGTGTATGAGAGAGAACTTCTAGCCATTGTTCTGGCAGTGCAGAAATGGAGGCCCTATTTGTTGGGCAGATCATTTGAGATTTTGACTGATCAGAAAAGTTTAAAATTTCTAACTGAGCAAAGGTTAATGGGGGAAGAGCAGCAAAAATGGACTTCAAAATTATTGGGGTATAATTTCACTATCAAATATAGACCTGGTATTGAAAACAGAGTTGCTGATGCTTTGTCCAGGAAACCTATACTCCAATCACCATCCATTGTGACATGCCAGGAATTGGAAGGCTTGGAGGAAGAATTGGAATCAGATCCTAAGTGTACAGAGTGGATTCAGAAGGTGATTTCACATCCAGACCTGCACACTGAGTTTCAGATTAGAAAAGGATTACTTTACTACAACAACAGGCTGGTCTTACCACAAGGATCCCCCAGAATAACCAAATTATTGAAGGAGTATCATGAATCTGCAGTTTGAGGACATTCTGGGTATTTTAGAACCACGAAAAGGGTTTCTAATCTTTTCTTCTGGCAGGGAATGAGAAAAGATATTAAGAAATTTGTGGAAGAATGTGAGATTTGTCAGACTAATAAGTACCAGGCTCTCAAACCAGCAGGGTTGTTACAACCCTTACCAATTCCTAATAGCATTTGGACTGACATAAGTATGGATTTTATTGGGGGATTACCTAAGTCAACAGGGAAAGATACTATTTTGATCATTGTGGACAGACTGACCAAGTATGCTCATTTTGTGGCTCTATCACATCCCTTCAATGCTAAGGAGGTGGCAGATATATTCATCAAGGAGGTTGTCAGACTGCATGGTTTTCCTAAAACCATAGTTAGTGACAGAGACAGTGTATTCCTAAGTACATTCTGTCAGAGCTTTTTAAGTTGGCTGGGACTCAACTGAAGTATAGTACTGCTTACCACCCTCAAACGGATGGCCAGACTGAGGTGGTCAACAGGTGCCTTGAAACATATCTACGATGTCTGACTGGAAGGAAACCTAGGAAATGGTTTCAATGGCTACATTGGGCTGAGTATTGGTATAATACCAATTATCACGCTGCTATGAAAATTACTCCTTACAAAGCTCTATTTGGACAGGATCCGCCTGCAGTAATTGGAGGGGATGTAACTCTAACTGCTGTAGAAGAAGTCTCCAAGTTAACTGCCCAGAGAAATATCATTTTGGATGAGTTAAAAGAGAATTTGGCTAGGGCCCAGAATCAGATGAGACAACAAGCCAATAAACACAGGAGAGAGGTTCACTTGGAGGTGGGAGAGAAGGTTTATTTGAAGATACAACCTTACAAGCTAAGAAGTTTAGCTAAAAGGATAAATCAAAAGCTCAGCCCCAGATATTATGGACCCTTTGAGATAATTGACAAACTAAGTTTAGTAGCTTTTAAGCTCAAGTTACCAGATGACAACAAAATCCATCCAGTTTTCCATATATCATTGCTCAAAAAGGCTATTTCCCCTACTACCTTCTATCAGCCTCTACCCAACTGCCTCAGTGAGGAATTAGAACTACAGGTGGTGCCAGAAGATATCTTGGATACAAGGGTTGACAAACAAGGGAATGTGGAAGTATTGGTACATTGGAGCAATCTGCCCAACTTTGAGGACTCGTGGAAACCTTTGTTAAAGCTCAAAGAACAGTTTCCAGAGCTTCACCTTGAGGACAAGGTGAAATTTCAGGGAGGGAGTAATGATAGACAAGGAGCAAATGAAGCGGTTCAGTTCTACAACAAAGTTTATAAAAGGAGGAATAGGGCCGTTAATAATAATAACGACTAAACTAACTAGTCTGTTAGTTAGTTAGTACAGGTCCCTGCGTGGACTTTACTATAAATAGAAGGTGAATAAGCTAGCAAAGGTGGCTGTTGTTTTGGCTAGAACTGGAATAGGAGAAGGGACATCTCGAATCGTCCATTGCTGTATACGAACTGTGTTCTCTCATTTACATCAATAAAGTTTTCCTTTCTAACTCTGTTCTTCCATATCTACTATTGATTGCTCTGAATTGTTGATCGGAATTACTAGTGTCTATCAATCGTAGTGACTATAAAACTTACTCATAGTAACTTATAGTCACATTTTTGTCCATGGATTTTTTATGAGTAATATTTTCGGAAAATTCTCGTTTTTTGTATTTCTTTTATATTATTCATTGTCCCAAAAATAGTATATTTATGAATGCTTAGTTTTAGTATTACAAACATTATTATTTTTTATATTTTGGAATGTTATACTTTTTTTGTGTGAATTATATTGTTATGAGTCCGATTCTCAATGAGTATGCCCAGCGGTTCCGTTTTGGGCAGGCTGGTGCCGGAGTCTCACATAAAAAAGTTAGGAGAAAATTATGGGTTCCTAAGGCCTTGGGTTGAACAAGTTAATAAATTGCATTCGGTCTCTTAGTGTGGTTTGGATCAAGTACTTATAGCCCAGTTGAGTGACTTTAAGCCAATCCTGAATTCCACTGCGTATATTCATTTAAATTGTACTGGCAGAGTATTGGAGAATACAAGACTGCAAGGACCTATCCCAGCTTCACTTTTTAGCCTTGATCAGTTGCAGAATGTGTGAGTTTGCTCTTTTTTATGCAAAATAGACTCCATGATCCCGAATTTGTTGATTGATACATGCCAAATCGTAAAAATTTGTCTCCCTTAATATTATTTCATATGCTCAGATGTGTCAGTTTGATAATGACATTTTCTTCGTCTTCTTCTTCCTGATAACAGCATCTTGAGGAACAACAAACTTAATGGCACACTGAGTATTAGCTCCCACTACAGCAGCCAGCTAGGATTAGTCGATTTACAAACTAATTTTATAGATTCATTTACAGAGAAACAAGGGTATAAATTTCAGATCAGGTAATCTGCCACGTTTTGGATTACACAGAAACAACAGCATTTGGATTTATGATTACAGTTTTTTTGTATTTTTTGGCAGCCTCACTGACAATCCAATATGTCATGAAGAAGAAGGAGAAGACCTCAAAAGTTATTGTGGACTTCCAAAACGTGGCTTAGAACAAGTACCAAGTCCTACTGCAGCAAGTTGCTCACCTACTACACAGTGTGGCTTAGAACAAGTACCAAGTCCTACTACTTGTGCTTGTGTTTATCCTTATACCGGCAATCTGATTTTCAGAGCTCCTTTCTTCTCCAGCTTGGAAAGACGTATATTTCTTAGCCTGGAAGAGTCTATGATGCATTCGTTCCAATCTCATCAGCTTCCAGTGGATTCAGTCTCCTTGAGTAATCCGACCAAAGATTTGGATGATTATCTGGTATTGCGCCTGCAAATCTTTCCATTAGGTCAAAATCATTTCAACCGGACAGGAGTTTCTAAAATTGGATTTGTTCTCACCAATCAAACATTCAAGCCACCTAAATCATTTGGACCGTATTTCTATGCTGCCGATATCTACAGATTCTTTGACGGTAATGCATTTGATGACTAGTAAATTTTTAATACGGAGTATCTCAAATCTTATTGTCATTGACATTCATAAATGTGATACTACCTCTGTCCCACTAACATTGGGACAAGAGGGGGTGACACGGTTATGAAGAAAAGTGAGTTTATGTGGTTGATATTGAATCAATAAAGTAAGAATAAAGTAAAAATGATTTAGAGTCACACAAACTTTACTAAATTTGGTATGGGACAATCTTAGTGGGATTTCCCTACAAGGTAAAATGAGACAATCTTAGCGGGACGGATGGAGTAACATTTAGGACTTTGCGGGCTAAATTCTTCCCACGAGGCCTAATACACTAAACCAAACTAAAAGATATTTCGGTGTGGGACTTTAACCCCTCCCTTTAAGTTGGTCATTTGAATTTAACACTTGCAAATATGACTTCCTATAATTTGAAACTTGAACTATGGTGGCTACATTTTTAAAGATTATGTGCCGCTAGAGTTAAAATTGGAGACGAACAAACCTGGTTATAAAGGCCACGAGCCACCTGGGACCAGGGATGGACCGTAGTACAGACCCAGGGGGGCTACCGTCCCCCCAACAAGATTTTTTTTAGTGTATATATATATGAAAAATAATTTTCTTCCTCCCAAAAAATATTTTGAACCCCCCAAAAAATATTTTCGCCCTCCCAAGATGACTTTCCTGGATCCGCCCCTGCCTGGGACTGGACTCCAAGATGCAGAGCCGTGTTAAATACCCACAGGCTACTATGGGTAGAGTTTATGACAAGCAACTGGAAAAACAAAGTGGACCAAAACTTGCTCTGGTACCATGATAAATTTAGAATTAGGCACTAGTCACTCAACTAGGGAACAGTAGTTTATAAGGGCAAAGTACACTAACCGACCGAAGATAATCTATTAAGTGGTTAAATTTTGTCAACCCATCTTATTGTTCCATTAGGTTTGGAGCCTACAAGATCAGGCAAGTCTTCAAATACAGTTATTATAATTGGAGCAGCTGTTGGTGGTTCGGTCCTCCTGATACTATCACTTTTAGTTGGAGTTTATGCTTTCCGCCAAAAAAGAAGAGCTCAAGAAGCTGATAAAAAGAATGATCCATTTGGTAAGATCATGAAATAATGTTGCAACTGCCTTATATTAATAATGTGATGTTTGTTTAGTTCACCATATTTTGTTCTATAAATATGTAGCGTCTTGGGATGCGTCCAAAAGCAGCGGTGGCTTTCCACAGCTAAATGGAGCAAAGGTTTTCTCATATGATGAGGTTGCAAAGTGCACAGAAAACTTCTCAGAAACCAATAATATTGGATCTGGTGGTTATGGGAAGGTTAGTTTCATTTTCCATCCTCATATACACAGGTTAAATTCCTTACTTTTCTGAAGGAAAATGGATACTACAATTTAGTTAGTTATATTTTCAATATCTTTTAATTAATATTGCAGGTATACAGAGGAACTCTTCATAATGGACAACTGGTTGCGATAAAAAGATCTCAGAAAGGATCAATGCAGGGCAGTCTTGAGTTCAAATCTGAGATAGAGCTTCTCTCAAGGGTTCATCACAAGAATGTTGTTGGTCTAGTCGGGTTTTGTTTTGATCAAGGGGAATATATATTAGTCTATGAATTTATTCCAAATGGCACACTGAAAGAAAGTCTGTCTGGTATGGGTCGTTTCCTATTATTACTTAGATTATTCCTAATAAAACTACTCCGGTTTAATATGGTCTACTCTCATATATTACTACGTTAAGTGTCCTACTTCAGGTGTTTACCAATCAATATCTAATATATAACTGTGGGTTAAACATCACCTTTTGATGGGTTTGATTTAGGCTCAAATGCTCAATTCAATATGGTATCGAAGTCTACTCTGGTTGAGATTTGGTTATTTGTGTGTTTGGCACCTATGGTCATGGGTAGTCCTTTTGGGTCACTTTGATCAGTTAATTTATCCATCAAGTTTTCCAGCTCAGTTTGGAATGAGAGGCTGATGTTTACTGCATTTTAGGTGACTTTTATGACAAATTCATTGAACTGTATGCTGAAAAAGCAAATTCAGTTTCAGCATACCTTTTAAGTATGCCAAGCTCAGTAGTGACTCATAAAGTCATAATGATTGAAGTTTTTACCAACTTATGCATTCACAGGGAAATCTGGTATCAGGCTAGATTGGATGAGGAGGCTGCGGATAGCCCTTGGAGCTGCAAGAGGGCTGCAGTATCTGCATGACCTTGTTAATCCACCAATCATCCACCGTGACATCAAAACCAATAATATTTTGCTTGATGAACGCTTAAATGCTAAAGTTGCTGATTTCGGTCTCTCCAAGTCTATGGGTGAGCACGAGGGGGGTCATGTCACCACTCAAGTTAAAGGAACAATGGTGAGTTAAGTGTACAGTCTACTACTATCCTAATACAACATAATAGTTAGCATGTCTCCATGTTGCTCATCATTTATATCTATTTTTGTATTTAGTTTGTGTTAGAAGTTTTCATCTATTAGAAGTTAGTTTTATATTGGACATTTCTTCTCAGAGAGGATGATGACGTGATGTATTATTATAAATCATAAACTCTAATCGGCTAACCATTTCAGAAGAAGGAAACTATTAGAGTCCCATATTTGACAATTGAAGGGAGAAAGAAGGGCATAATCGATTAGATTTAATCTTCTAGTGTACTTTGTTCCAAATGTCTTATAAGTCCAATTGAGCAACCCCAATCTAATCCTAAAATCTATGAAGAACATTTGAGGCTGACGGAATTAACACAGGGCAAAATATTTATTTTTTCTAAATCCAAATTAACATGATAACAATGATAAATTTTAGCATAGATGCTTATATAGATTTTGCTATCAACTGTCTAATAAATAAATAAATGGGACACAGTAATTTTTACTAGTTTTTTTAAACAAACTAAGAAAATGCTCATCAAACGTAACAGTCACATCAGTATGTTAACACCTTGTCCATCAGTTAGAAAGTATTCTGAAGACTTTTATAGTGATAAAAAACATTCACCAAAATAATAACTACTTTATATGTTGCACGAGCGAAGGAGACTAACATGTTTAAAGTAAAAGAATAAGTAAAAGAAAGAAGCATTTGCCAAAAGTTATTCGGAGAACAATGATAAGTCTTTGGTTAGTCTGCATAGAAACACATATCAAGATTTATAGAAAATGCACTTCAAGAATGATATATTCTGAATTAATAATATAATACATGTATTATGGTTCTAATAATAAATAATCCTTGTATTCCACAAAAATAATTGCACAGGGGTCTTGTTATTGCCCTTTTGTAGGGGGGCAGCCCGGTGCACAAAGGCATCCCCGCAAGGCGAGGCTCCGGGGAAGGGTCCCACCACAAGGGTGTATAAGGGGCAAGCCTTACTCTGTCAAATTTTTTGACTAGAGGGCGCTCTCAAGACCTGAACTCGTGACCTTTTGGTCACCCTTTTGTAAAGTTAATTAATGAATTAGTACTTTCTTGGAATTCCAGAGATGGAAATTTAAATAAAAGTAAACTTGGAGATGGAAAATGAAGTACACATACAATATAGAAAATGTACTACTTCATCGAATGAACTAGAATCTCATAGAAGCCTATCTTTGTAGGTGGGGTGATAGGAGTAGAACTTTAAATCATGCATTTCTTCTGTCCTTGGCTGCTTCAATATTTATTAATCTTGAAACCTAGAGTTAGAGCCTGGAGTGCAGCCAGTTGATCATATATGTAATTCTAGACTGCAACTAATCTCATTTTGTGTAGGGCTACTTGGATCCTGAATATTACATGACAAACCAGCTGACAGAGAAGAGCGATGTTTATAGCTTTGGAGTGGTGATGCTAGAGATTGTAACGGCAAGGCCTCCTATAGAGAAAGGGAAGTACATTGTGCGGGAAGTGAAACAATCAATGGTTGAGGCTAAAGAAACGCATGATCTTCTTCTTGGAGTTCTCGACCCGGCCATTTTCTCAAGTGTAACACCTGCAAGCCTGGAGAAATTTGTTGAACTTTCCTTTAGGTGTCTCGAAGACACTGCATCAATAAGGCCAACGATGCGAGAAGTGGTAAAGGAGATTGAGAATATCATGGTAATGGTTGGGTTAAACCCTCATGCTGAGTCTGCTTCAACTTCAGGGAGCTATTCAGGAGCAAGCAAAGGCTCAAGTCATCCTTACAGTGATTAAAGTCTGTCTGTCTACTCGGTTGTGACTTCAAAGTAAGATAAGCAGCAACTTGGGTATTTAACCATTTTGTTTTCACATGGCTTGATACTCTTTAACAGCCTTATGATATTTGTATGTGCGATTAGAGATGATGTACAAAGATATTCTTGTGAAAGATGAGTTCAGTTTGCAATCTTTCTTGGGGATGGAATCAAGTGTATAGGCAAGATGTGGCACACTCTCGGGGGTAATTTTCAATATGGACATTTTGTATATCTTTTATAATTTCTTGTTTTGAAAATAATAATATACCATGAATGGCAATAATAACTCATTAACGCCAAATTCTACAAATGTATTTCTATTATTGTTGAATGGCAACTGGTAAAAAAAGTGAACTACTAAATTCATATACTCCGTATAAGGTATGGAAATGCTCTTGTTAATTTAACCTTTTAGAATGAAAATTAAGGTCTTAATGAAGTGGTATCACATCCAAATCTGTTGTGATTTCATTGATTATTTTTCATTCATGATTTTGGATAGTCTATCTAAACTCGACATGTCTATTTTATTCAGTTATGGACTAGGGAGGCACGATCAAGTATCCCCCCAAACGTTATACGAAGTATATAAGAAAGTAAGCTAATCCAAAAGATTTCAGACTGCTCCTATAGTTTTATCATTATATGTGATTATTTTTTAACATCGAACCTCGAGTCTTAATATGCAATTATCAAATTCTAGTTTTTATGTATCAATTGATGAACCTCTTTTGATATAATAATCCATGAATGTGTAGCATACATTGTGCAAACAATTATTTTTTACCCAATGAAGTATGGTGTCAAACCGCAGGGAAGTGAGAAAATAAATAATTAAGCACAAACTAAAGATTCTAGTTTGGAATGTGTTTCTTTTGATAGTACTGGGTTACATTATTTAGATAATTTAGATATATTTGGACAAACTAAATCTTATCAAAATCTCATTCAAGTTCCCGAAATATCTTGATAATTATGAGACGGATTTGCTCCCTTCTCTCGATCATTCACCGTCCACAGTCAACTCGGTAAATTCAACGGTGTGCTCTATTTCAAAATTTCTTAATTATGAGAAATTTTCGTGTACTCACAAAGCATATTTAGCGGCCATCGCATCTCGTGATGAGCTTAAGTATTTTTATAGGCAGTACAAGATCCTTTGTGGAGGGATGTCTTGCAAAAAGAGATTAATCCATTGGAAGAAAATAACACCTGAGCTCTAGTTGCACTGCCACCAGGAAAAAGGGTTGTTCACTCAAAGTGGGTTTATAAAATTAAATATAAACCCAATGACGATGTGGAGCACTACACGGCTAGATCGGTAGCCAGAGGTTTTACTCAAGTAGAAGGGGTTGATTTTCACAAAACTTTTGCGCCTGTTGCTAAACTTGTCACAGTACGACGTTTGTTGGTTGTTTGTGCCAAATGAAATTGGATCATTCACTAGTTAGATGTAAACAACGCCTTCCTCCACGACAATCTTTTTGAAGATGTCTATATGCGTCTACCACAGGGATTTCTATAAAGCATGACCCCCGTGTTTGCAAGTCATGCAAATCCTTATATGGACTCCGACAAGCTTCTCCCGATTGGTACCATAAATTCACTCAAGCACTTGTCAAAATTGACTTTCGTCAATCTTAAGTAGATCATTTTCTCTATTTATGAAAAGGGACTTATTGACACCTGTGTTTGCAAGTCATGCAAATCCTTATATGGACTCCGACAAGCTTCTCCCGATTGGTACCATAAATTCACTCAAGCACTTGTCAAAATTGACTTTCGTCAATCTTAAGTAGATCATTTTCTCTATTTATCAAAAGGGACTTATTCACACTTTTGATCTTATATACGTGGACGATGTTATCATGGTCGAGGATGACCTATCTCACATTAACACTATCAAACGTTATTTGGATGTCCAATTCAGCATCAAATACTTGGGAAAGCTTAAATATTTTCTTGGCATTGAGGTTGCCTACTCTCCAGAAGATTTCATTTTAAGTCAATGGTAATATACCCTTGACATCTTATCAGAAAGTGGTACTCTTGCTAGTTATCCTAGTTTGTTTTGGATGGAACAAAATTTAAAACTCCACCCACACAATGGTAGTCCGCTCGTAGATGCCTCTTCCTAACTAGCTAAGATTAATTGGGCATTATTATATCTCATAGTGACGCCTTCAGACATTGTCTAATCAATTAGCTAGCTCCATCAATTCCTTGGTGCCCCTCGACAAACACATCTTGATGCAACTAATCGCGTCCAACGACACTAGAATCTACACCTGGTCAAAGCATTTATGTCCTCTGCCTGTGATATCGCTTTAACATGATATTGTGATGTCAATTGGGCAAGATGCTCTTTTACTCGCCGATCTAGCACATGCTATTTAGTCACCCTTGGAAGCTCACCTATATCATGGCAGACGAAGAAATAGTATGTCGTTTCTCGCTCTTCTGCTGAAGCAGAATATCACCCTAGGGCATTCACAGTCAGTGATATTTTATGGTTGCACTAGTTACTATGAGAGCTCACGATTCATCAAAAGGACCCCCACGTTGCTTTAATGCGATAACCAGGCGGCACGATACATTGCACTTAACCCAATTTTCCATGAACTTACCATACATGGAAGATTATCAAGATGTGATATATTCACAAAAGCACTAAGAACAGACCATTTTCAATTTCTTTAGACCAAGTTGGGTGCTCGTAACCTACACACTCCACCGAGGGGGTATTGAAGTTTGAAGTCTACGTGTTGTGTACTTTTCATACATGAATCGTAATAGTTGACTAGGATTATTATTTGCATGTTAATTGTATTATTTCATGGCCCATGTAACCTCTTTCCTAGCAAGCACTCCTCATCCCAATTGTATTATATATGTATCTAGATCTAATGAGAAAACATAACGAGAATTGCTCCATCTTTCAAGTGTTTCTTCAATCACTTTGATAATATAGTTTGATTCTCAATTTATATCATTTTATAATAGTTTGTTGCAGCCTCTCCCTATTCTTGAAGGAGTGTAGGCTAATATCTCAATGGACTTCATCGAAGGTCTTCCAAAATCCCAAGGTAACGACGCCACTGATCTGGTGGTAATGGTCCTCTTTAGTAATTATGCTCACTTTCTCACAGTGACCCATCCTTATTTACCAAGCTAGCAGTGACGTGCACCTTGTCGTGAGGTGCACTCAAAATAATTACAATACAACACTAATACGTAGTATAATGTAGTAAGGTTCGTATCCACAGGGAAAGGAATACTTTTCTTCTATATAAGTAGTAACAAGGGGGGTTTAGATTTATTTGATTTAAAAACACTAAGATAAACAACCTATATGAGTTTAATTTAATGAGATGAGGACTTGGTTTTGCTTTTATCCACTTAATGAAATGTCCGTCGATCCCGGTTATATCTTTAACTATCTTCCTCTCGAATACTCAATCGAGGAGTATATCCAGTTCATCGAGGGTAGTTATTAATAACGAGATGCGTTCATTAATAAAACTTACTATCGAGTCAATATAGAACAAGCGCCGTATATTAACTTGATAGTAGCAATAAACTTAAGATGAAAACGATTGAGATTGATAACCTCAACACAAGCGGTTTATTGGTTTAATCAATATAACTAATTCCCCTTGGCATATTAACCATGAGATGCATGCATTAATATTCCAAGTTTACTACCGTTGAAAGAACCGAATTAATAACAAGCGTATTAACCGATTGATTCTAGTAATAATTAATATGAGAAACAATACTAGTTGATACTTTAAGTAATGTTTAAGATATTAACATGAAATATGAATAGGAATTAATTAATACTCAAGGAAGAATATTAAAGGATATGAATCCTACTATGATTAACATCAAGATGTTGACTAATTGTCATCTTAGTAACACTCCCCAATATTAACATAGAGGAAGAAATAGCTATTACTATAACCAATGTCAAGATGTTAACTAATTGTCATCTTAGTAACACTTCCCAACTTTGATATAGAAATAGTATTTTAAAGGAAGAATTAATATTCAAAGAAGAAGATTAAAGAAAATAACTCACAACTTACAAATTCATTAAGCTTCAAAGTAGCAAAACCAAGATGGAAGAGTTTAGCTCCTCATTTGGAGATTAAACATGATGAAAAATATAAAGAAAGAACTATTCTATACTGAGCTTAGATGTACAAAGGAATTGGATATCTTTTTGTGAAGGAAAGGAGGTGTATTTATAGGCTTTTGGGATGGGATTCGGGTACTCGATCGGGTATATACATGGTACCCGATCGAGTATGTGTGTAATACTCGATTCGAGGTATACTCGATCGGTTTCAGGCTATTTTCCATAAGTATACCCGATCGGGTATATGTTAATACCCGGTCGAGTATGCTTAGAAAGTGGTATTCGGACCATACTCGACCGATCTTCGTTTAAAACTCAAAGGCATACCCGATCGGGTATGTCGGTCTACCCGGTCGGGTATAGACATTAAATCGTGGCCGAAATCCTCCCGGCATGTTCCCTTGTCTTCGGATCTGATCCGATTTGAAGTTTCAACCTAATACCCGATCGAGTATAGTTAATACTCGACCGAGTATAGACAAAAATTCAGGATCCTTCTTTTATCTTCAAATTTTGCACCTTCTTTCCACTCTTTGGGTTCACCAACTGTACTTTGAGTGACCAAGACCTGTTTGAGCTCAGAATATATCTAATCTAAACTATTTACAAGAATTTAACAAACTAATCTATTACACCAAAAGTGTGTAATTTCCGTAGTAAAGATCAAGCAAAACTAATTAAAAACACAAACATGCAAATGGAAATTACAAACGTATCAACTCCCCCACACTTAAACCTTTACTCGTCTCGAGTAAGATCAAATGTTCACAAGTGTCAAGTTTCTCCAAAGTTTCCACAGTTTTAACAAAAAACACATACAAACACAAAGACCACCAAGGATGACAAAAATGAGTTTTAACTCAAATTACAAAGAACATCTTGGGTTTTATGGCCTTCTAGTGTTCATCTTCTCTTCTCCTCCTTTCTTCTTCTTTGTCTTTGATTTCTGAATCTTCTTATTCTTCAAAGAGATACAATGAGTGCCTGCAAAAACAAACATTTCTCTCATATCTCTCATTTTGCCTAGGAGCCTTTTCAGGTTTTCATCCTAGCATCTCTTTTCATTTTCCATTCTCCCCAACTCACTCATTTTTTTTATAATCCTTTTTTGCTTAGATTGCCCATTTTGTTGGGTTTTCAACCTAACTAGCATTTATTTTCTTTTATTTATTCTTTTTTTTAAATAGCTCAAAAGAATTACATGCATAGTGCTAGGTGGAAATAAAAATTACATACCATGATGAGTCTCTCCCCCGCACTTGAATCAAGCACTGTCCCTAGTGCCCGCCTTCTCCGCCGTAGTAGCTCCCTCCGAAGCCGCTCCCCTGCCCACCATCTCCCATATATGTGTCCCCGCCATCTCCGCCGTCGTACCCTCCACCCCCGGAGCCAGATCCTCCAAAGTTACCCCAATGAGTGGGGTCATACCACGAGGGTGGTGGAGGGGGGTTTGCCATGGTATGGAAGGTTCCCTGCTGTGCCATGTAAGAGTACATAGGTCCGTAGAACCTACGTTGGTCTTCTTCATACCGATGTCTATCAGCTTCCCTGAGCTCCTCCAATCGCTGAAAACCGGCCCTTTGCTCCTCCTGTATTTGGTTGAGCCGGTTGTCCATAGCCGTGTAGTTTGCGTTCATTTGGGCGTACCCCGTAAGCAGTTGTTGTTGACCCTCCAAAAGTTGTTGAAAGAAGTCGATTGGTGGAGGGTTTTGGTTTTGTTCGGGGATGTCCTGGCCCATGTCTTGATGGCTATGGAGTTGAGCATAGGGCTCGTAATCGCGTTGGTGTTGGGGAGGTTCTTGCTCCGATTCCTGGAGATATGGTGGAAGGGCGTGTGGGAAGAGGTAATGGCGCTCCTCTACTGCTTCTTTGTAGTGGAGTTTGGGGAGTTCTGGGTTGGGCAGGAGGAAGTATTTGAGGGGTTTGGGGTGTATGAGCCAGTTGTACATATTCTTTGGTCTTTCTCCACCATAAACTGTGTGGGAAAAAGATGTACAGCCCGAGTGGCCCAACCAAGAAATGTTCATCAAACAGTAGTCGGGTATAGGAGAGTTATCCGTATACCCGAACTTGGTGGCTAAGTGCATAATCACCCCACCCACCACAATAGCGCCCTTGGCTACACTTTCTTTTTTGAGATGTGCCCACATAAGATTACACAGGTTGAAATCCACGTGAACACGGAATAGGGCTACAGACATTAGGCATACATCCCTCATCCTAGTGTGATGGTTGTTGGAACGTCCAAGCAAGCAGTTGGTAAGGAATTTCAAAAATAGGTGGAGGACGGGATGTTGGACATGACTAATATAGAGTTGGGAGGAGCTAAATTTAGTCTCCCCGGTCATCTTTGTCCATAGGGTATGGCCGAAAGCGGTATTGTCGGATATGGATTTTTGGTAAGGGACCGGAATACCAAAATGTTCGGCGAACTCAAGTTTCGTGATGGAGTGGTTGTGGTTAAACAGACGAAACTTGAGTTTATCATCCCTAAAATCCGCTTCATTGTTCTCAAATTGCACCGAGCTTATGAATTCATAGATAATTTTTTCATTTGAGTGATATTGCATTTTGAATATCTTATCCATGCTCAACTCATGAAAAAATTTCTTAGTACTTTTGTACACTCCTAATTCATTGAGGGCATCATGGCATAAAAAGCGAGAGGGTTTTACTTGCCTTTCAATGGTGGACATGAAGCGGGTGCGGTGTTCGTTGTCGATGAAGATGATGTCCTCGTAGCCCGGGATGGATGCCCTAGTGTTGGAGCTCTGTCCTTTTTCCTTCCTTGGAGCCATTTTTCAGTGATTTTGGGCTTGAAATCCGAAAATTGAAGATTGGAGGTATCTAGTGATGGTGCCTTGTTAGCTAGATTCGAGGTGAGACCTACATTACTTGATGAAATCAAGAAGGGTCAAGAAACTGATGAAGAGCTTATGAAGATCCGTGAACGCATGCTAGCGGGACCGGTTGAGGATTTCAGGGAAAGAGACGATGGTCTCTTATTATTTCGTGACCGAGTGTGTGTACCGTTAGATGATGAGCTCCGAAAGTCCATCTTAGACGAGGCTCATTCATCGGCGTATGCCATGCACCCGGGAGGCACGAAAATGTACCGTGATTTGAAGGAAAGTTACTGGTGGTCCGGTATGAAGAGGGAGATAGCCGAGTACATCAGTAGGTGTCTTACTTGTCAGCAAGTTAAGGCAGAACATCAGCACCCGGCTGGGTTACTACAGCCACTTTCCATTCCTGAATGGAAGTGGGAGCACGTGACTATGGATTTCGTGGTGGGGCTGCCACGAACGGTTAAGAACTATGATGCCGTATGGGTTGTGGTCGATAGGCTCACAAAAAGTGCACACTTTCTACCTATCAACACCACCTATGCATTGGAAAGGTTAGCCAAGTTGTATGTGGATGAGATCGTGAGGCTACATGGAGTTCCTATAACCATTGTATCCGATAGAGATCCGCGATTCACATCACGATTTTGGCCGAAGTTCCAAGAACCTATGGGGACGAAACTGAAATTCAGTACAACTTTTCATCCACAAACGGATGGGCAATCCGAGCGGGTTATACAGATATTAGAGGATATGCTGAGAGCTTGTGCATTGGAGTTCCAAGGGAGTTGGGACAACCATTTGGCACTTGTGGAGTTTGCCTATAACAACAGTTATCAGGCGAGTATAGGCATGCCTCCATACGAGTGACGAGCACTTTGTCATGGTGCGTCAAAATAATTTTCAATACTAACACTTATACGTAGTATAGCGTAGTAGA